CATGATCTGCCCACCTTGGCCTCCCAAAGTGTTGGGATTACAGGCGTGAGTCACCGCACCTGGCCGACTCAAACTTTTTATAACACCGATAATATTGGTGACTTCTAAATGTATTTTTCTGGGCCACACCTTTTCCCTGAGTCCTTACCTCATATATCCACTTCCTAATCAGTACCTTCACTTGGATATTTAATAAATATCTCATAATTAGCACGTTGCAAACTGAGTTCTCTCTCATCCCCCACTGGACCTACTTCTTCCTTAGCCTTCCCCATCTCAGTTCATGACAATCCCATTTCCCAGTTGCTCAGTCAGAACCCTTGATTCCTTCATTCTCTTACATCCATCTCCACTTCCCAATTATGAGATCAGCTGTATACAAAAACACCATAGAAATGTGTTCAAGATTTTGCTATTTCTTATGACCTCTGTTACGCTGTTTTCCTAGCCCACTCTTATCTCTCACCTGGAAGATTGCAATAGTCTTCTACTTGACTCTAATTGACTGTATCTTCCCGTGTTCTCTAGCAGTTTACTTTCTAGAGAGGAAATATCTTTTTATTTTTTTAGAAATGGGGGTCTTGCTATGTTGCCCAAGCTGGTCTCTAACTCCTATGCTCAAGTGATTCTCCCACATTGGCCTCCCAAAGTGCTGGGATTATAGGGATAAGCCACCACATCTGGCCTAATGATCTTATTAAAACATAAATAATATCAGGGCCGGGTGCAGTGGTTCACGCCTGTAATCTCAGTACTTTGGGAGGCCAAGATGGGCAGATCACTTGAGGTCAGGAATTCAAGACCATCCTGGCCAGCATGGCGAAACCCTGTCTTTACTAAAAAATTGGCTGGGCGTGGTGGTGCATGCCTGTAATCCCAGTTACTCAGGAGGCTGAGATTGGAAAATTGCTTGAATCCAGGAGGTGGAGATTACGATGAGCCGAGGTCACGCCACTGCACTCCAGCCTGGGTGATAGAGCAAGACTCCATCTCAAAAAATAAAATAAAATAAATAAAATCATATGTCACTTCTTTTTTAAAGCTCTCCAATAGCTTCTCATAACAGAGTAACAATGGCCTACAAGAGAATTGAAAGGAATAATGTCTGAAATGAAAAATTATATGGATGAACTTAACAGTAGATCAGAAATTGCAGAAGAAAAGTTCACTGAACTTATAAACACGGCAATACAAATTACCCAGAGTGGAGAACAGAGGAAAATGACTGGAAATGAACTGAGCCTCTGGGGTCTGTGGGATAATGACAAGTGGTCTAACAGAGGAGAGGGAGAAAAAATACTTAAGAAACATTTTTTCCCAACTTTTCAAAGAAATTTTCACAAATTCATTAAAAACTATAAATCTACAAATACTATAAATGCAATAAACTGTATGCCAGGATAAACAGAGAAAACTGTACTAGGGCACATCGGAATCAAACTGCTGAAAATCAGTGAGGAAGAAAACATTGAAAAAGCAGCTAGAGAAGAAAAGAAGTGGCGGGGGGCATATTACATCCCTGAGCCCAGGAGTTCAAGACCAGCCTGGGCAACAAAGTGAGACCCCGTCTCTACAAAATATTTGAAAATTAGCTGGGTGTGGTGGTGCACACCTGTGGTCCCCGCTATTCTGAAGACTGAGGCCAGAGAATCACTTGAGCCCAGGAGGTCAAGACTACAGTGATCCGTGATTGCACCATGGCACTGCAGCCTGGGCAATACAGCAAGACCCTGCCTAAAAAAAAGACATGTTACGTACAAGGAAACAAAGATTAGAACAATTGTTGACTTCTCATTAACCCTTTTCTTGTTCAGAAAAAAAGTACAACTCACTGCCATTGCTCCTCTAATTTTACATCAACACGCTCTTGGAGGCTGAAGCAAAGTGACTGATTTTCAGTATGAAAATAAAATATAAGAACTGTTCTTGGAGTTATTTCTAAATAGAACTAATATCAGAATCATCTGAATCATCAGAATCATCTATTTTGGAAAAATTGGATTCATTAAATGAATTTTCAGCCAACTGTTCAAGAACAATGTTATTAATAATTAACATCAGCTGGGCGTGGTGGCTCACACCTGTAACCCCAGCACTTTGGGAGGCCGAGGTGGGAGGATCATGAGGTCAAAAGATCAACACCATCCTTGGCCAACACAGTGAAACTCTGTCTCTACTAAAAATATAAAAAATTAGCTGGGCATGGTGGCACACACCTTTAGTCCCAGCTACTTGGGAGGATGAGGCAGGAGGATTGCTTGAACCTGGGGGAGGCGGAGGTTGCAGTGAGCTGAGATCGCACCACTGCACTCCAGCCTGGCAATGGAGTGAGACTCTGTCTCAAAAATAATAATAATAATAATAATTAAAATCATGCACAGGAATGCTATGCTTTCTAAGCTTTGGCATTTTCAGCAATCAGGAATTACTGTATTTTATAAATGGAAATACCACTGCTAAAAATAGAATGCTATAAATAGAATGATGTCTTTTGTTTCCAAAGTCAATGTGCTAGAGTGATAAGAGAATAATAATAAAAGCAAGAGGTTTCATGGCAAAGTTATCTCAGGGTCAATGCTGTATCCTCAAGCACTGCCAGCAAATATTCTCGGGGCAAATGGGAAAAGGGTTAAAATGCACACAAGTCAGAAGAAAATGAAATGGTACCTTGAAAGCACTGAGAGGACTTATTTTTTCCTAAAATGTACAGATTTTCTAGCTTTGTCCACTGAGAAGGCCTAGAATTAGTGAGCCTGGAACAGTAAGCATGCTAGCATTCTGACTGTGGTCTCTAAATACTCTTTGCCAGTAAATGGAACCAGAGATCCTTAGAAGGATGGTTCATTCCAAGTCTGGGACAGGAAATATACCAAACAAAACTAGGCAGCCGGGCACAGTGGCTCACACCTGTAATCTCAGCACTTTGGGAGACTGAGGTGGGCAGATCACCTGAGGTCAGGAGTCTGAGACCAGCCTGGCCAACATGGTAAAACCCCATCTCTACTAAAAATGCAAAAATTAGATGGGCATGGTGGCGCACGTCTGTAATCCCAGCTACAAAGGAAGCTGAGGCAGGAGAATCGCTTGAACTCAGAAGTTGGAGGTTGCAGTGAGCCAGTTGCACCACAGCACTCCAGCCTGGGCGATAGAGTAATGCTCTGACTCCAAAAAAAAAAAAACGAGCATTTTATTTTGCTAGAAAGCAAAGCAGGAAAGCTAATAAGCTTTAATGGATGTATCAAAAGAACACAGGAGCTCCTCCTGGCCAAAGGTAGGACAATTTGGGCTTCAGAAAGATGACTGGGGCTGGGTACAGTGACTCACACCTATAATCCCAGCACTTTGAGAATCTGAGGCAGGGAAATCACTTGAGGTCGGGCATTTGAGACCAGCCTGGCCAACATGGTGAAACCCCATCTCTACTAAAAATACGAAAATTAGCTGGTGTTATGTACCTGTAATCCTAGCTACAGGAGGCCGAGATCAAAGAATTGCTTTTCATGGTAACTTTGCCATGAAACCCAGGAGTGGAAGGTTGCAGTGAGCTGAGATCATGCCATTGCACTGCAGCCTGGGAGACAGAACAAGACTCCATCTCAAAACAAAACAAAACAAAACAAAACAAAACAAACAAAAGCAGAAATGTATCAGTCAGATACAAACATAAAAGAAACCTACCAGCCAAATACAAAGTGGGGACTTTATTTGGATCTTGACTTTAACTGTAAAAGGACATTTTTTTAAGATTTGAGGAAATTGGCAGATGGACTAAGGTACTAAAATATTTTTGTCTCTGTTTTTAGGTGTGATAATGGTGTTAGGTTGTATGAAATGTTTTTACTGTCTCATAGATGTACAGACTGGAGTATCCCCAGGTGAAGTAATTGCCTAGGGTTTGCTTTTAGCCACGCATCCCTGCACAAACAGTTGGAGGAATGAAAATTACATTAAATAACATTGACAAAATGTTGATATTCGTTCAAGTTTTGCAATGGGTACCTGAGAGGTAGTCATTAGATTATTTTATGCAAGTTTTAATATTTCTGTAGTAAAAAGTTAAAAGAGCAGGACCTTTCCTATATCTATAAGAGAGAGCCTCACTCAGAATATGTAGTGTTGCCTTGCAAGTAGGTGCAGTTCTAATGAGTTTGGGACAGGTGCCAGTTTTGTTTTTTGTGTTTTTTTTGAGATGGAGTTTCGCTCTGTCACCCAGGCTGGAGTGCAATAGCACGATCTCTGCTCACTGCAACCTCTGCCTTCCAGTTTCAAGTGATTCTCCTGTCTCAGCCTCCCGAGAAGCTGGGATTACAGGCATGCACTACCACACCCAGCTAATTTTTTTATTTTTAGTAGAGATGGTGTTTCACCATGTTGGCCAGAATGGTCTCAATCTCTTGACCTCATGATCCACCCACCCTGACCTCCCAAAGTGCTGGGATTAGAGGTGTGAGCCACCGCTCCTGGCCGAGTACCAGTTTTAAGGGAGAAATAGACTGATGCTAAAGGCAGCATCCTTAGAGAAATAAAAATGTTTTACTGGTAACATGAAGTAACACTGAAAATTCTTAAGTTTATACAAAAGCCTATAAAAGCATAGCACTAAGGGGTCACGTAGTAATATTTAGTAGATTCACTAGGCTTCAGTTGTCTTGCCAGAGGGCATCCTCTAAAAAGTACATCCATCACAGAGAGCAGCACCTGGACAAAAGTTGTACACGTGTCTCCTCTGCTGACTCAACAAGTCCTTCTCAAGAACTGTTGTGTCAGTGGGCCAGAGCCACTCCTGAAGGACTGCTTTTGTTCAGAGGATTTGAGAGACGGATTCCTGAGGATCTAACACCATATTCCATTTTGCATTGTGATTTTTTTTATTGTTTTCTTTATTATGATTTATTACTTTTTAAATTTTTCTTTGAAGTTTGCTCATTTTAATCCATGTTCATTTCTCCCTCTATATGTGTTTGTGTCACGCTTGCTGTCTTTGCCTCCATTGTTCCTAGGTTACAGTATAGCCAGGATATACCCAGTCACTTGGCCGATGAGCATGCGCTGATAGCCTCCTATGTGGCCCGTCTGCAGCACTGTGCACGGTTAGTGGTGGTGCAACAGCAGCAGTGGGCAGCCAGGGGTGATCAGAGGGAGGGAGAGCTTTGCTACCTGGGGTTGTCAGCTGGAAAAAAGGCTGTGCATGGAGGGTTTTTCTTAGCAGCTACCAGCTATGTTTGGCAGAATTAAAATAATTGCTAAGCATTAGCTCCTGCAAGAGAGGGAGCCTTGCCAAGCCTGGGCGCTTACCTAAACATGGAGTCAGACCTTCTCTTTTAAATTGGGATTCACTTCCTTCAGCTTACACTTGAAAGAATATATAAATCTGTGAGAGATCGACATTTCCAAAGATGCAATATTCACAGAGGTATCTAAGGCAGCCTCTTCCTGTTTATTCCTACCTAACTAATCTCTCCATTGACATTCAAAGTTTAGAGTCAGTCAACCCACAGATATCCCATTTTGTCTTATCTGGGGGCTTTGATACTGTCACCCTATTACATCTTTGCCATTCTTTATCTATTAGCAGGAATCTGTCATTGTTGATTATTTAAACCAGTGATTCCCAACCATGGTATGGGATCACTGTCACCTGAGGGTCTTTTTTCCAAATTATGTAGACTCTCTCATATTATAATACTTACATGTGTTATAACAGCTCCACATTCCCCTAACCCTGAAAACTACCATGGCAGTGACTCTCTGTTAATAAGAGAATGTGTCTGATTCTTCAGTGGTTTGGGATGGAAAAACATGGGATAACTGCTAACTATAGCAAAGTTAATCCTTTTTTAAAAAGATTTAATACAAAAAAATAAAATATTACATTCAGGTAGGTCCAAAGTCTCCTGCCCACTCCATACGCACCACCTGTCTTCAAGCAGGATGACAGGTAAAGTTCAAACAATCTAAAACCGTCCTTCCCCTGCATAACAGCAAAGAGGAGTCACAATGCCAAACAACTTGGAAAGCCATGCTTTGAGACTCTTGTTTTTAAAGAGAGAAGCATAATTTATAACCTATATACATAACAAAGGCTAAAGCTTTACATTTTGATCTTAGTTTGGTTTACAGCATGCCATGGCTTCTTGGGAAGGTCATCTGACCTTGCTGCTACTCCCCCTAATAAGTTAATAGTTGGGAAATATACATATGAAAAAGACTGTTTTAATATTATACTTTATATCATTTCCCATAGTTTTCCTACTATGACTAAATAGCATAATTATTCTAGGGTATGTACATATCTCTAAAGCTTGGAGAAGTAGGGTTTTCTAACCTTCTAAGTATGTTTAATAGACTTACCCTCTAGGAGGGAAGGAAGGGCCTGATCATTGTGTGCAGGGCATCACAGAGTGTCTCCTCATCCAACAGATGATTTATCTGCACACCGTCCCAGCCTCTTCATCTCTAGGAATTGAGTTGTTTCACCCTAGGCAAGACAAATTATTTATTATCAGTAAAGGCAGTTGTCCAGAGTAAGCAGAAGTTTCCACGGTAAAAATAGCAGCAGAATGTTTGACAGAGACCATTACCTACTAATTTAGCCCAGTAAGATTTACGGTAAGTTTAGCTGAGGCCCTCAAGTCTCACCTTGGCTCCCTGAGCAAAACTTGGTGGCCAGTAGCCCTGGGAGAACATGAGTGGGTGAGTACTGCATGACTTCCTGATTTATAATCTAAGGAACTGAACTCCACACTTCCTCCAAGAAGTCAGAACCTTCCTGGCTCACTAATTCTGAAATGAAAGTCAATTCAATCAGAAGAATAAGGATCCTTTCTAATTGCCCTCAAATAATTTCCATTGACCTTAAAACCTCTCATCAATACAAGCCTCTAGTTTCTGGCTAGAAAACATAGCCAGTTAAAGCAGCCCTGTCATCCACACTCATGTATAAATGACATAGGATCAGGCTTCCTAAGGAGATGGAATGTGATCAAGAAAAAGGAGCTCTTTTGCACAGAAGAACTTATTGTACCCCTTGCCAGATGACAGGTCAGCCACTTTAGGTCCCGCTTCTTAGGCTACCAGTCCCTCCATAATAGTATTCACTTGTATTGTTAAGCATTCATGTTTATTATTTTTTATTTAAAAGATAGTTTTCTTATTTCAGACAGATACTTTTAAAGCACAAATATTATAGTTTATCTCTCACCTTGGGACCTTGACCCTAAAATATTAAAGCCAACTGATAGTTGTCTGTTCTTATTACAAGATCATTTCTGAGAGGGTGATTATATATCCTGGAGATGTACATTTGCATGCCTAAAATTATGAAGTGTTGACAGACATCATAGGCAGAATACTTGAAGCACTTAAAAGAAAATCCTAGAAGAATAAGTTAAGCTTAAAGACTTAGCCAAAGCAATAGAAATATTAAAAAAAAAAAACTAGAAACAATATAGTGGATTCTACACATGAAAAGATCAGACAAATCTTTATTGACTTAGCCACACCCTTCCCAGATTCCTCTCAGTAATTATAAGAAGCTATAATGAATATTGAGCTCGAGTCTTTAAATTTTTGTGTATTACTTCTCATAATGCTAAATTCTGACAAAGGGTTTTTGGAAACCCAAGAACATAGGGCCAAAGTACAGGTAAGCCACAGCAGTCATCTCTGGTCATTTAGTCAGCATCATCAGTCGCCTTACAGCATCTGACAGCCTTAAACAGAGAATTATATAGCCACAGTCCCTATTAATCTAGGACTGTCTTGATAAGGATAAATAGCATTTGGTATACTAAATTAATGAAGTCATGTATTTCAGAATCAGTTAGAAGTTCCATGTCAGCATCCCATATACAGAGCCAACCTATTACTCAAGAACCCTTCCTTCATCCAGATACCACACTATCTGATAGCCTGTCTGAATGGGTCCTCACATTTTTAGAATGTTGGTACTCTTGTTAAAGAGTAGTGCATTAAACTAATTAATTCCAAGTTGGGGCTACAGATGTAGAATGAGCATAGTAAAGGAAGAGAAAGGGGCACGAAAGGGGAATGTTTGATGCCATGGAATCTTTTCCAACTTTACAATGTGTTTGGCCTACCCTGGCAAGGCCAAACTTTTGCTTAGCCAGTGTTAAGTATATTTTTTCTCAGCCCTTTGTTTTTCATGATGCTTTCGTTTTCTCTTGGTCTTTTTGAATTTGAGATCTAGGTCCAAAAAGTTATCAGTTTTTCAAAACATTTGGTTAGAAATCCATGTCTCAGACTCTGTGGGTGCCCTGTCTTTTCCTAGCCCTTGCATTCAAAATGAAGTGGCCCTTTGATGGTAGGGGAGCAGAGGGGATGTGCTGCTAATGAGGAATGACAAATGTGGCATCATCATTTCTCTAAATCCCCTTTTTTCTCAGAAGACCATTAGTACCTATGACCCAGGCCTCTAGTTCTTTCGTTACCATTCTTTTGTGAGCTTTTCTTCCCTCTGTTCTTTCTAAGAATGGAACAAGAATAAGGGATGTTTAATAGACACCTGTTGCGTTTTTATTTCCTTGGCAGTGTTCTGGAAAGTCCTAGCCGACTGGATGAGGAACACCGGCTTATCGCTCGCTATGCTGCCCGGCTGGCTGCAGAAGCAGGAAACGTGGTAAGTTAATGGAGGATCCCAGGAGAGTAGCAGAAGTTAGCATTACTTTAATATACGAATGGGAAGGAAATAGTAAACATGAAATTTAGAAGAACACGTACCTCTGGCACAAAAGGAAGGTGGAGTGTCTTTAGGGTAAAGACCGAAAGGGACTTTAATTTCATCTAAATGTTCTCTATTTAAACAATGAATCAAATGTTCTCTATTTAAACAAAGAAAATCAAAGAGCCAGAATTTTATTCTTTAAGAGATCAATAAAATTAATAAACCCAGCAATACTTATGATGTAAAAAAGAGAAAACATTAATTACTAATATCAGGAATGAAAAAATAGATATTGCTGTAGATCCTGTAGACATTAAAAGAATGATAAAGAATCTTATGAACAACTTTTTCCCAGTAAGTTTGACAACCTAGATAAAATAGGTAAGTTCCTTGAAAGATGCAAATTAATAAAACTGACATAGAAACAAATTAAAAAATCAAATATTCCTATGTTGGTTAAAAAAGTTGAGCTCATAATTAACTTCCCGCAAAGAAAACCCCAAGCTTGGCCAGGCGCAGTGGTTCACACCTGTAATCTCAGCCCTTTGGGAGGCCAAGACAGGCCGATCATTTGAGGTCGGGAGTTCAGGATCAGCCTGGCCAACATGGTGAAACCCTGTCTGTACTAAAAATACAAACATTAGCCAGGCGTGGTGGCGCCCACATGTAATCCCAGCTACTTGGGTGGCTGAGGACAAGAATCACTTGAACCCAGGAAGCGAAGGTTGCAGCAAGTCAAAGTTGCGCCACTGTACTCCAGCCAGCTTGACAGAGTGAGACTCAGTCTCAAACAAACAAAAACCAATTTCTGATGGTTTAACTGTTCAATACTATCATATACTTAAGGAAGAAATAATGTCAATTTGATGCAAACTCTTTCAGAAAATAGAGCAAGAAGGAATACTTTACAAGTCATTGTATGAGGCCACTATAACCTGATACAAAACAATACAAGGGCATTACAGGCAAAGAAAATTGCTGGCCAAATTCTCTCATGAACTAGATGTAAAGATCCTTAATAAAATATTAGCAAATTGAATCTAGCAATATGTAAAAAGGATGACACTCCATTATCAAGTGAAATTTATCCTAGAAATGCAATTGTATTTAATACAGAAAAATCAATGTAATTCATCACATTAACAGTTAAAAGATACAAATTATAAGATCATTCAGTAGATGTAGAAAAAAGCATTTGACAAAATACAGCACTCATTTATAAAATTTTTCCATATGCTAAGAGTAGAAGGAAACTTCCTCACCCTGATAAAGACTACCTACAAAACCTACAGTTAAGATAAATTTTGAAACATCTCCCCTTAATACTGGGGACAATTCAGAGATAACCACTTTTGCTACCTCTATTCTAAATTATACTAGAGGACCTAATTAATGCAACATGACAAGAAGAAAGGGGTATAAATATTTGAAAGGCAAAAGTAAAGCAGTCTTTATTTGCAGATGACATGATTGTGCATATGAAGTCCTACGAAATCTTAGAAAACACTAGGAGAACAGATAAGTAAATTTTATAGTATTGCTATAAGATATAAAGGGCATATCCCAGCACCTTGGGAGCTGAGGTGGGCAGACCACTTGAGCTCAGGAGTTTGAGACCACCCTTTGGCAACATGGCGAAACTCTGTCTCTACAAAAAGTACAAAAATTAGCTGGACGTGGTGGTGTGCACCTGTAGTCCCAGCTGCTGGGAAGGCTGAGATGGGAAAATCGGTTGAGCCCGGGGAGGTCAAGGCTGCAGTGAGCTGACATTATGCCATTGCACTATAGCCTGGTGATAGAGTAAGACTCCATCTCAAAAAAACAAACAAACAAAAAAAAAACTATTTATTATAGCATTAAAAATAGCAAGTACTTACAGATAAATTTAATGAAAGATGTTCAAGACTGAAAACTGTAAAACATTGCTAAGAGAAATTAAAGAAAACCTAAATAAATGAAGACATGTGCCATATTTATAGATTAAAAAGTCTAATATTGGGCCAGGCGCGGTGGCTCATGCCTGTGGTCCCAGCACTTTGGGATGCTGAGGCGGGTGGATCACGAGGTCAAGAGATCGAGACCATCCTGGTCAACTTGGTGAAACCCCATCTCTACCAAAAATACAAAAAAATTAGCTGGGCACGGTGGCACGTGCCTGTAATCCCAGCTACTCAGGAGGCTGAAGCAGGAGAATTGCCTGAACCGAGGAGGCGGAGGTTGCAGTGAGCCGAGATCGCACCATTGCACTCCAGCCTGGGTAACAAAAGCGAAACTCTGTCTCAAAAAAAAAAAAAAAAAGTCTAATATTGTTAGGATGGTAGATTTTCCCAAATTAATCTATATATTTAAGGCCAGGCGTGGTGGCTCACGCCTGTAATCCCAGCACTTTGGGAGGCCGAGGTGGGTGGATCACGAGGTCAAGAGTTCAAGACCAGCCTGACCAACATGGTGAAACTTCGTCTCTAAAAAAACAAACAAACAAAAAAACTAACAAATTAATCTATATATTTAATATCAATTCAAGTCTTAGCCTTTTTTATAGAAATTAGCGAACTGTTTTTAAAATGTATTTGGAGAACGAAAGGATCTAGAATAACCATAGCAGTCTTGAAAAAGAACATCAAAGTTGGCAGACTTAATCCTACTTGACATCAAGACTTACTATAAAGCTATAGTGATCAACAAAGTAAGATATTGGCAGAAGGATGAACAAATAAAGGAACAGAATAGAGTTTCCATAAAAGACACTCATGTGTAGTAAGGTCAAATGACTTTTAACAAAGGTAAGAAGCAAATCAGTCAGAAAAGGAAACTCTTTCTATTTTAACAAATGCTGTTAGAACAACTGGATATCTATGTAGGGAAAAAAAGAATCTCAACCCCTGCCTCACAGCTTACAAAGAAATCAATTTGAAATGTATCATAAACTTAAACATAAAAGCCAAAACCATAAAGCTACTAAAAGAAGGTATAAGAGAATACCTTCATTCTCTTATGAAGAAGAATGAAAATTTATTAGTTTATAGGGATCACAAACCATTTTAAAAATTGATAAATTGGACCCTATCAAATGTAAAATCTTTTGCTCATTAGAAGATACTATTAAAAAATAGACAAACTGGCCAGACGTGGTGGCTCAGGCCTGTAATCCCAGCACTTTGGGAGGCCGAGGTGGGCGGATCGTGAAACCCCGTCTCTACTAAAAAAATACAAAAATTAGCTGGGCGTAGTGGCGTGTGCCTGTAGTCCCAGCTACTCGGGAGGCTGAGGCAGGAGAATTGCTTGAACCCAGGAGGCGTAGGTTGCAGTGAGCCGAGATTGTACCACTGCACTACAGCCTGGCATCTGGCGACAGAGCAAGACTGTTTAAAAAAAAAAAAAAAAGGACCACAATCTGAAAGAAAATATTTGCAAAACATGTCTGACAAAGGACAGAACATATAAAGAATTCCTGCACCTCAACAATAAAAAGACAACCCTGTTTTTTTAAATGAGCAAAAGACTTGACCAGATATTCCACAAAGAAGATACACCAGTAGCCAATAAGCACATGAAAATGTGCTTGATGTCATTAATCATCAGGAAAATGCTGATATATATACTATATACCACTATATACCCACCAGAGTGGCTAAAATGAAAAAGTTGGATGACACCACATGTTGGAGAGGATATGGAGCAACCAGAAATCTCATGGTGTTGTTGTCGGGCCTATAAAATGGTACAGCTATTCTGGAAGACTATTTGGCAGTTTCTTAAAGGAGCAAACATTTATACTATGACCCAGCAATTCTACTCTTAGATATTTATCCAAGAGAAATGAAAACATGTCTGCAAAAAGCTTTGTACAAGAATGTTCATAGCAGTTCAATTAATAATAGCTGGAATAGCCCACATATTTATCAACAGAATAGATAAACAAAATGTGTTACATTCATACAATAGAATTGTCTCAACACAAAAAAGGAGTAACATTGATACACACTACATAAGGGTGAATATCAAAAATACTCTAAGTAGTAAAAGAAGCCAGATAGAAAGAAGTTTGTACTGTTTTTTTCCATTTGTATGAAATTCTAGAATAGGTAAACTAACATATCCATTACCGTAAGTTAATCATCCTAATCATAATCAGATAAGGGATTGTTTCTAGAAATGAAAATATTGAAGGGAGATGAGGAAACTTTCTGGATTGATAGAAATATTCCATATTTCATTAGTGTGGGTTGCAGGAGTGTATATTTGTCAAATGAATTAAATGGAACACTTAAGATCTGAGCATTATATCTCAATTAAAACCAAAACGAACCAAGAATGTTGAATGTGTAAGAGTTTGATTGAAATAGGAAGTGGCTCCCCAGAGATTTGCAGTGTGTGTTTCCTGTAATTTTGAAATATTCATAATAAAATGTTTTCTCTTTTTCTTCTCCTTTTTCAGTTCTTTACTTTCTTTTTTTTTTGAGACGGAGTTTCGCTCTTGTTACCCAGGCTGGAGTGCAATGGCACGATGTCGGCTCACTGCAACCTCTGCCTCCTGGGTTCAGGCAATTCTCCTGCCTCAGCTTCCTGAGTAGCTGGGATTACAGGCACGTGCCACCGTGCCCAGCTAATTTTTTGTATTTTTAGTAGAGACGGGGTTTCACCAAGTTGACCGGGATGGTCTCGATCTCTTGACCTCGTGATCCACCCACCTCGGCCTCCCAAAGTGCTGGGATTACAGGTGTGAGCCACCGCGCCCGGCCAGTTCTTTACTTTCTTTGAGGAGTTGTGTTGACATTAATATTCATCCCCCCAACCAGCCACACACACACATATTCATTTAGCAAATGTTTCTTTTGTTGCTGTACTGTGCCATACTGGATACTGTGGTGGACAAATGATTCCTGCCCTCATGGAACTAGCAATGTAGTGGCAGAGACAAACATTAAACAAATAATCACACTACTAAACATAAC